AGTTTTAAGTGTTTTGGCAAACTTTTATTAGTACGCAGTGTTAACTTCGTCAAAATACCCGCATTTACCTTATATTTCGAATATTGGGAGGTATTCTTACTTGCATCTTATTAAATGGCTCCATAAAAGATTTTTCTGACGCCTCTTCCAGGTTTTGAACTAATTTAGATTCGTCGCTTATCACCTGGCTAGCAAGTGGATCATTCCATTTTAAATCTTTTATTGGTAAACTATTCAACCTCTCGAGTAATTCAAAAGCGTGATCGGAGGAACTTCGCTAAAAAAATGATTGAAATGTGAATTTCTTCATAAATATTTAGCACAAGATAGCTCAGTAGCATAATTAGTGTATCATACTTACTTTAAGTTTCGTTTTTAAGTCACCTATATTTTCAGCAATTTTTTGTTTGTTAAGGTTAATTTTTAATTTCGCTTCTTGTACATTGTTAACACTGCGAACCCCTTCAAAGGCATCATTAAACTGGCACAAAAAAAAGATACATATGTTAGATTTCTTGCTAATACGTATATATTTAGTTTAATACCACAAGCTTGTGTCATCAGAATATTATAACAGGGTTGCAATTTCTCTGTGGCCTGCAGATCCATGCCACCCCATTTTTCTTCATTTGAATTTCAAAACTTGCAAGACTAAAGCCAGAGCGACCTCATGCGTCCCCAGGTGTTGAACTCCCGGTACTAACAGACTAATGGACGCCCAGGATTACCTCTATTTCTTATAGAGTTGAATCTACAATAATAGGCTAATAGGCTCTCCCCTTGACTAAAGCCTTCACAAATTCAAGAATCCAATATGGGAAAGGTGCCATTCATCAGATGACATTGAAAAATATTTAAGAAAACCACTAACCTGTGTACAAATTCTGTTCAATCTTTCCAATGCCTCCGAATCCTCAAAATATGTATCCGCTGACTCATTAACAGCACGAGTTACAATTTCTCTTAATTCTTCCTGTTGAATTGAAGGGTCGTATTCCATTGCCTCATTAATAACGGAAAAAGGTGTAATGTATTCTATCGGAAAAGTGATAAGAAAATTATAAACTATGTCAAACATTGTATCAGACATGGTTCAGTAATAATATAATATTGTAATGTAAAAATATAGTATGAGTTAAAATGGCAAGAGTTAAAATCACTAAAAAGCGACAAATAACAATAAATCCAAGATACTGCCCTTTTATATGTTTTTCTTTCACCTCTTCCCAAAACTCGAAATGTTAGAAAGGTTAGGCAGAAGTAAAAACATGCACTCTTACAGCAAAAAATTTCTACGATAGAAGTTGAGGCATGTATTTCCACGCAGAGAAATTTCTATCGATGATGCAAAGAATTTTATAAATTTTGTAAATGTATGCATCACGAGTTATAGAGCCATGTAAGGTTAAAGGGACTCGATACTCTGTAGTACATGCATACATTGTGCGCATTTAGGCCAGATAAGGTTTCGGTCCGGAGTTAGGCTCCCCACATATCGATAT